GAGACATTTTGGCAAAAACTTGAAGTGGAAGATACAATCTTTTATGATCACTGCACCCATACTCACCTGGTTTCCTGCCTCTGGTTGTTGATTTTGGAAACCATAGTGTGTAGTTCACTGTCAGTTCAACTCAGCCGAGTCAGTAGCCAGTAAGATGCTTGTCCCCTGGTGGTGCTTTCATGGAGGTAATCAAGGGTGATTCTGTCTTTATTCCCACCACCGCACATGAAAGTAGGCCAGATAGTGGGTAAGAAAAGCTGTGTATATGTATCTGTGTGTGTGTGTGTGTCTGTGTCTGTGTCTGTAAGTAACATGGCACTGGGTTCTCTTGGCCTCAGATGGCAAGGAAACAGGCTTTTCATGCCCTGCAGTCACAACAAATTAGCGAATTAATAAGACATTTGGTGTTGCCTGGCCTTCCTCTTGACTGCTTGCTCTGCATGAAGGGAGCTGGCTTTGGCCCTCGACACTGCTGCACTGTAAGGGAACATGAATGCATTAAGAGCCCACTGGCCATACGATTTGATAGTCTCTCAGCCCAACTGCGAACCACATTAGGAAGGGTATAGGAAAAAGCCTTTTTATGGAAAATGTACTTTTACAGGCTCTTGGTTTTGGCTTAATTATATCAACCAAGTGGATGTGAGACAAAAAATGTCACTGTGTTGGATCTAGTGCAGTTGTAAATTGAAGAGAGCAGCACATATTAGTGTGAAAAGAATATGTTTTGTTTATGGCATTGTTTCATGAGCTTAAATGTTCTTCCATTATGTCTTGTGTTGGCCTTCAGCTCAACAAAACATCAAAACAGAACATTATACATTTTAAAAGATTTCAGCTGAGCTTGTGTGTTTTTTTTCTTGAGCAAGTACTATGCTCAGTAAAAGTAAGCAAGTCCATGTTTCTTTATGTATCTCTTGTGTGAAAAAGAGCAGGCAGTGCAGGAGGTGTTGGTGTACATGCGTGCATGTGGACGATCCTGAGCACCGTGATGCTTTCCTCTACCCTGGGGAAAGGCTCCACAGTGTCACTGCTGCCCATACTCGGTGGCTGAGCAAGGAGGGCCAGGTGGTGGTGCCGAGTGCAGGACAGTCAAGCGTGGACGCAGCGCATGCTGACATTTGCCTTCGTTGACTGCTGCAGGGAGAGGAAAAATCTGCTTTTCCATATGCTTGTGCTCGTTGCAACCCTTCCCTCCACCCACTGCCCCTCCCTCCCTCTTCTGTCCCCCTCTCCCCAGTCTCAACCAGATGGCTCCCTGAACATTGTTTACCTTGGGTGATGGTCCCAGATGCAGAGTGTGTCCATCGGCATCCCCATTCCGCCCAGTTAGTTTCTTCATTCCTATGCTCCCTCTTAGCTGAAGTGCCAGTTGCGGCTCTTACACTCAAGTTGCATTAAGTCTGTTGATTTTGTGTCTCCGCTCACAAACACCACAGCAACTAAACACACTCATTTACACACACTTTCTCCCTCTTAATTACTTTATCTTTTGCTCAGTTGTTCACACTAGTGTAAACGCATCTCTTCACACCTTCTCAGGCTCACACCAAATCCAAAAATACACAGTTTGTTTTCCTGATCAGGGCTGCAGTTTTTCCCATCTCTATGCATTGTGCATGTTGACATATGGGAGCTCCCTTATGGCTGCATATTGAAGATGGAAATAGGCCTCCAGATGTTGCCAGCACAGAGGGCCAGATGCATTTAGCACCACTGGGTGGAGTGCCACTAAAGCATGTTGTCCCGACAAGCTGAACCTCACCCCTTTTTAGTCCCCAAGACAAGCCTTCTCCTCTGTGTTGAACATTATTCAGTTAAACCAATGTAAATTTAAGGCTACACACTTGGTGTTAGTTGTAATGTAATTTTGCACCTCATGTGAGCTGTTATGTCTTTTATTTATGATGTTTTATTTATGATGTTTTATTTATTCTTCTGTACAGCACTTTGGTCAACTTTGGTTGTTTTAAAGTGCTTAACAAATAAAGTTGGATTGGATTGGATAGCCAAGAAAAATGTGATAATCCAGCAGACCTGAAAGAGACTTTGTGCTGTTTGTGTTTGTGTTTAAGTAACTGTTTTTTATTCTCAAATCTGTTTAACAGAAAAGTTGCCCTCTTACCCCCAATCCTTTGAGTGGAATTTGATTGAGTATAAAATGCAAATTGCCAGGCCACGAGTAAAAAACCCACAGTTCACATTCCAACGAGTTTGATCAAGGCACATCCGCTAATGTCCTTGGCCTTGAGGAGGAAAAGCTTGCTGGGTAGTGGCCAGCAGTGGGCTTACCATCGCTGTAGGTTGAATAGCTTTTACAATAAAAGTGTTGTGCAAAAGGAGTGGTTCTATGAATTGAATATGTGCTAAGGCAAGGCCATGGTGTGTTGAGGAGAAGAACGGTGAGTGTAAAGGTGCAGGTTGTTATGATGGTTTACGGTTCAATTGAATTTCCTTAGTTTGGATATAAGCGGGTTCAGGCCAGTGACCTTGCTGCTAGCCTGCTCTCTTGACTGGCTCATATGGGTGAAGTGCTCATGGACCAAACTCTTTTTGTGTGTACCAGTGTTTGGTTGATTTCTCTACAGCCTATAGGCCTTAAGGTACTGCCATCAGTCCCTGTAAAAACAGGCCATTTTGCATTTCAAACAATTCAGTGTTTCCCACAGGATGGCTGTGGCTATACGCTCCCCTGGAAGAAGATTTTGTACATTTTAAAGTTAATTGCAAAATGCATAGGCTAGATCTATGAAGAACTTTGTGCTTTTGTTAAACAGCTTTGTGCTCATAAACACATTGGTTGTATTGATATAAATGTTGATGACATGGAAAAAGCCCACCAGATTTCCTTTTATACATTTTCAAATATAAAACTACATTTATACTATGGCTTGGCTGAATACTGGATGGTTATTATTTACTGAGATATGTGCATCCATATTGGCCAGTATGCCCACTTAATTAACATTTTAAATTCAATATTTAATCACTAATCAATGTCAGTCCATTGTTTTCCATCTTGTATTAGTTCAGAGTTGTAACTAAATCTTGACTGAGAGAATAGATAAGTATTTTTCCTTTATTAAATTATGTGAGCCCATATATTGTCTGGACTGGTCCACACAGAGGTTGCTGCTGTAAAAAACAACGTTGGAGATCTTTGATGTTATTATGATTAGTGTAAAAGTCTTTTGGGTTCATTGTGGGACATATTAGACTGTGGTGGTCCAAAGAAAGCTATCTGAATTCATTAAGAAAATGATTGCACTTTTTCAATCATCTTTATTGTACAGCAACAACATTCTTATCAGGATGAAATACTTACCTTCCTTTTACCATTTGAATATTTTTTTCACCCTTTTATGTATCTATCTGGTTGCAATGGAGCAGCTACTGGTATGCAAACTCTTTTTATGGTTGTGTTCAAGGATCCTCCACCATCTGAGATTTTACAGGGAACATTTTTATTTGCAATGCAAACATATATTGTATTCTAGTATAATGTGTGTCATGTTGTAAAAAAAACACAATATGCTATGGTTTTTACTGTAATGTATTTCCTATCTCAAGAAACTTTAAAATCTCTGCGAGTCGATTTCTATCTTCTCTAGAAAGGTATAAAATCAATCTAAAAACTGTATAACACATTTATTGGGAAGTAAACAAAAATTATATTAAATGAGCTAAAACATTAGGAATATTTACCCAAAAATGTTTCCCCATATATACTTGAAACTATATAATCTATACTTGCAGTACTTGTTGCTGTGTAGTTACACATTGTGGTGCATTCCATGTATTACTATACTGAGCTTTTCATTTATCATGGAGCCCAAGTTATCCTGCATGAAGCTTAATGCCTGGAATGTTCTGGATCTTTCAAACTTCTTTAATATCACATTGTGTGAACACCTCTCTGCCTCAATTTGCACCTTCTAGAGCAACCTATCCTGCATTCAGGGCTTCACTCATCCCCCTCTCTTAAATTCAAATCCATTAGCACCACCACCATATTTTTATATTTTGAATGTAATGTGTTCACACATTTTCATTTTTCATTTTCCTCACCATTTTTCATAACTTTCCATATAAAGCACTAAGAATTTATTATTTGTGCATTTATTAATTATTCTTCTTTAACTGGGAGACTTGGGAGTAGTGCAGTAGTCTTTGAATTAATGTTGCCTTTGTGAGACCTTTTTAATGACCCAAGTTTTGTCAAGCCTATATGAGAGACGTGTGGAAGCGTGAAGTAGTGTTGTAGCAGATTCCATTCCATTCCATTAAATTGCATATTTTGTCCTACATTGTATATAATAGGTGGTTGTTTTCCTAACTTAATTGTACTTCTGTCTTAGTTTGTGAATTTGGATACTGTTACAGTATGGAAGACAATGGGGATATTAGAGAGCAGGAGTCTCTATCATCAGATACTCTGTATTATATGGCTCTACTCTGCTTTAGTGGCAAAAAGCTTAATGACGGCATACATAACTTGTTGCACATAAACCACTGCAGAGCTAATGCTAACATTCTTTCTCTACTGACCACTATGACACTTTATAGGTTTATAGTGAGAGTGTAGCAGCAAAGGGTTGCTTATTGCTTGTTTGACCTAAAGCTGTGGCTTTAATCTCCTTTTCATTTGGCTGACAGGTAATTCTTTTGGCTGAACACACATCATTCCCTTTAAGTCAACAAGTTGTGTCTTCTACTATAATGTCTATTTTTAGATTCCTTATCAGGTAGTGAATCAGTAGCTACTAGCACATGTAAGTAACATGTTATTGGTATTGGGTCATCATGGTGTTGGCTTTGTTGTGCTGACACGTTTGCACAGCTACACTACCTACGCTACTCTGTCCCCATCTGTATGCCACTGTTAGATTCTTACCATCTGTGTCGGAGTTTCTGTTTAAGGTTAGCTTTCATTGGTGATCAGGAGTAACAGCTGGCTCTGGAGAGCCATCTCTCCAACCCCAGCCCCCACCCCTCCCTCACTAACCAGCGGAAACTTCTACAGCTGTCATCTGCTTTCCCAAATGACCCAGCTTTCCTTCCAGCTGCCATCCCAGCACCCTGCTCCCAGCCCTAGTCTCGCTTCAAGGCTAAGCTCAATTTTTTTTTCTATATCCTGCCGCAATCACAATTTAAGGGAAGCTGAAATTTTCCAGCTGCAAGGCCGACATCCACCCTCAGTCACAACCAAGTTGCAACCCAGTCACCTCCTCAGCACTATCTTTTAAGCTTGACTGCTAAGTCTTGTTACCAAACAAAGTGAAAGCCATATTAGGGTTTAGGAACTGAATCGTTTGTCAATTTCAAAGAGCACCAACATACCATATCCCCTTTCCCAAATCTCGTGAATCATTTTACATGTATGCATAATCATTTTTGAGTTTCTGCTACTGTGCATCACTGACCTGTTTTGTTTTTCTGTGTTCTAGGAGCTTCACCCAAGGTCATCAAATTTCAAGAGGAACCATCAGATTATACAGACCCACCCAAAGGAAAGAGTCCAGCCATTAACAGCACATTGGTCCCTGTTAAAGGCATAAATAACCTTGGTAACACTTGCTTCTTCAACGCTGTTATGCAGGTTGGTATAATTATGAGTCAGTTTAAACAAATATTTTCTGTGCATGTGTCTCTGTACTGTTAGGGGAAACAAACACGCATTGAGAAAATGGTGACAAGAACAAAAGCTCTACCTATTGCTAAATTTTCATTCATGAAGTATCATGCAGTAATAGTACACTATGTAGACAGAATAAATATCAATAATAACATAAGTAGGTATGATCAAAGGTATCTTTTATTATAAATCTAAAGGATGAACACATTAATGCAAAGTGGATTTCTAACTACAGATAACCTGCCTGCTAGTCCATGCTTTATCTCAAGAGACCTTGTAATAGAATGGAAATCCCTCTAACTCATTAGGCTAACAGGGCAATATGGCTATTTATGCCTTCCCAATGTGTAAACACTTAAGTACTGCTTGTTGCCTACAATTCAGTTCAATTTCAATTCAATT